ATCTTTCATAAAATAAGTGATTTTATTAGTATAAACTAACGTAATTATGAACTTAATTTTCCCCGGGCATTCTTTCCCAACTCCCGGGCATTCCCGGGCATTCAACGAATCTCCCCGGGCGTTCCCGGGCATTCCCGGGCATTCTTTAGTAGGACCGCCATATATGGCTAGCTTCACCACTGGCAGTATTATAACTCTAACATACAAAAGCAAGCAGTTATAAGCATTGAAGATATCCATATAAAACCGCATATGCTAAGAAAGTAGACTTCGAACATTTAGCCGACCCTTGACTTTGTGCAAGGTGTTTGATATTCAAATTACACTTTTCCTACCTCCTGAACAGGCGTCTTAGGGGTTGTTCGCATGATGGAGGCAGGACGATTTTGATGTAAATATTGAAATATTAGTCACCAGGTAAAAGAAAGGTCAAATGCTGGTGAATAGATCTCAAATGTTGTAGAGAAGATCTTGTGGTTCAAGAAGGTTATTATGCTTGACAACCTTTCATTTACAGTTAATTATAATCCATCTCTAGAAAATAATGAAGTTTTTTGCTGATTTATGCACTGCGACTTATTTCAGCACATTGAAATCATCCTGCCTCACATATATCCTGGCAAAGTGGGATCATATAAACAGACTCTTATTTAGCAAATTGCGCATGCTGCTTTTCATCCCTTGAGGCGAGGCAGCATTTCCTTGCGATAGTAACTTCTAGTTATTAACATATAATAAAACAAGTTGGTTAACATATTATAATGCTTTAATTAATGTAATTATCGTCACTCGTCTGAGCTGCTGTCCATTGGCTTATACATGAAAGGGTTTATATTCGGGGAGGGGCTTATATCTGACTCTTCCCCAGTCGTCTCTGTGTTAATAAATTTTTAATGTGTTAATAAATTTTTAATGTGTTAATAAATTGTCTCGTCTATGTCTGTCTATATGTGTTAAGTCGGTAAAATCCTTTCGAATATTACACCAACTATTTATAACCATACCTATTCTAAAGATCTATATTTACAACAACATTTACTGTTATTAAAAAGAATTGCTTAAATTGTTTCTAAACTGGAGGGGATTCTCTGAGCTCACAATTTCTTTCAAGGGCAAATGTAGCAAGGACATGCAGGCGGTGGAAAGCGCGCGCAGGGGTGGAAGGGAAGGGAGAAACGAGGGGAAGGTGTGAACGTACTTGGTCGTAACCCACTCTCAACATTTCTCGTGGGAGGAAACTCGAGTACCCGAAGAAAACTAACAACATTCGGCAGAGGGTTGACTGATTCTTTTCATATGAATATTTCGAGAATTGAACCCACAATTTCAGAGATGGAAGACGCTTGTTCTGACAACGAAGCACAGCTGGTATCATTATCACAAATTGCCTGGTCATAAACGTTTTAAAATTTGAGTTTTTCTGCAACAGCACTCAGTTGCTTGACAACACTTGCAAGTTGCAACATGTTTCGTGGCTTTAGTTTTCGACTCTTATATCGAGTCGTTTTCTTTTCCCTCTGTCTGATTTTCGCCTGTTTTTATCATGGTGGTAGTTCAGAGTATGACAGGCAAGAAGATGAAACAGAACCGAACAAATTAAAAGATGAATTCAAAGGTAAAGCCTTGAATGTTGACGTTTCTCTCGAACAAGACGAACGCGTCTCTAACTTGACAAAAAATGCGAAACAAATTGATGGCCACAAGGCGCGGAAGAAAACTGATCTTTCAAAGATGGTGAGAAAAGGTAAATTTTGAAAATGTGAGAATGTTAGTACTTCACAAGGAGAAATTGTTAACCATAATTTATGCCTCCCATCTTAACGAATGATCTTAAACTATGTAATTATACATGAAGGCTTTACTTCCCACACACGCATTATCGGCTGAGTGCTGCATCTCCTGAGCTCCGTTTACTGGGCGGTGTACTAAATAGAACACTCACTGTAAATAATTCAACTCGATGTTGGGTTAATCCGGCTGGGGGTAAAGATTCCCTCAGCCGCTGTTTTTTCAACTTTCAAAATAGAATACGCAGGATATGTATCTACATTAAAATGTTCTGAAACAGTTTCCCCAGTAAAGATGAGGGCAAGATTACGCCATAACATACAAAAGCTGGAATTAAAACTGCAATACATATATTATACTATATGGATGCAGACATGGGGAGAAGGTGGGTTATGAAGTTTGTTATAGTCTTCACCAGGTGATGTTCCTTCATGGTAAGCTGTACGTGAATGCTTAGAACTTAGCATTGGGCCAGGGGTGTGTTACAAAACCTTTCATAATCGTTATCTTTTCAGGGTGCAGAAAAAAAAAACTGAACAGATTTGAAAGTGCTCTCAATTTCGCAAAACAGCTCGTGGTATCAAGTTTTTGTTAAATATAAATTCCTTGAGTATTTATAATGTAGAATAATGAAAAAAAAATACACGAACTCAAATTATGCAAACCAGGGGGTGTTTCTTTCCAAAAAAAATTAAAAATGGCTTGCGCACGAAATTTAAAAGCTTTAATCATATTTTGAGTTAATGGATGGAAAACTTGTTGGGTTTTTAATTACTGTACACAATTTCAGACAATTTGCTTTAGTTTACATATTGCTGGCAAATGCAAATTAGGCCAAGCCATTAATTAAGCATGCAAACGGCTGTTCCTTTTGGGAAAAAACATAAGTTTGCGTGAATAGTTAAAGGGTTTAAACTGAAGTAAATTGTCTTAAATTTCGTGACGCAAGTAAACACACAACACATTGTTCACCTATTAACTCAAAATACGATTAAAGCTTTTAAATCTCGAGCGCAAGCCATTTTAGTTTGTCGGAAAAACAAAAGGCACTCCCCTGGTTTACAAAACTGGAATTGGGATGTTGTTTCGCACCTTCCAAACTTTCTTGAATTGAAATTCCCATTTGCAAAGAAACATTTTCTTTATTTCCAGGAAATACGATGAAAACACTCCAAAATAAAAGAATACAAAACAGCCCAGTACTGCATTTTTCAACTCCATCGCCGTCTGAGATAAACGTTCCACGCAAAGAATCGACAACCATCCCCCACTCAAATGAGACAGACTGGCAAAACAATTGCAGCAAAAATATATCTTCATTGGAAAATCAATTTCTTCACCAGAATGACTTGAGAGAAACAGCCAAAAGAGAAACGTTCGCTTCACTCACAACTCAACATCTCCGGAACAGACGTGAAATTCAGGCGATCTTGGAAAGTCAGACCGAATGCGCCAATTTTACCTATACTATAAAGTACGAAGATAACTACAGAGTATGGAACAACTTTTCAATGATGTACCAAAGCCGAATGTACCGTTATAACGAGTACAGAGTAACGGACGATGGTCTACAAGTTTGTAATTCTTCTGACCCCCTTAATAAACAAAGATGGCGGGATTTGATTGCTCGGGAAAAGGAAGTGTTCGCTTCCAAATATTGTAATGTATCCGTGGACGTATTTTACTATCACAATTACACATTATACAGAAATTTTACTGTTTTCTTCAAACCTACTCAGCAGAGCTTCACAAGGCAAGATTATGGAGTGACTTTTGGATATTTTTCGATTTGTTCGGAAAAGCTTAGTCTGTCCTGCAATGACTATTTGGTTAAAGTGAAATACGGTGATCAGTACAACGTTTTGCAAAACTTTTCATTGTTTTACAACAACAAGATGTATGATTATCGCGAATATCGACTCGAAAACGAAGGTCTTGAAATGTGTGCTTCCAATGATTCAAGAATTCAGACCATTTGGAGAACTCCAAATTCTTGGATAAAGTCGAAATCCATATTAAAATGCCTCAAATCTCTTTCTATATTATCAGCAAGGTACTACACAGTAAATAAGCAGATCATTGTCTATGTCGCAGTTACAAGTCAATATTTCACAAGAAACGATTATGGGGTGACAGACGGTAAACTTTATATATGCAGAGAAAAGTTAAGACCCGAATCAACAGAGTATACCACGCAGGAAGATATATTAATGTGCAACGATTCAATCTTCAATGTAAAATACGATGATGAATACAAAGTTCGGACTGACTTTTCAATAATCTATACGAACAAGGTGTACGATTATACTGAGTATCGAGTTCTGAATGATAGCATCAAGATTTGTAACTCTACTGATCAATACGTAAAGAACATTTGGAAAGCACGCAATAAATGGGTAGAGGCGAGAATGCATCAGAAAAGTTGCAATAAGCCCATTAGAGAGTCTTGGCTGTACCGAAAGTATTACACTGTGAATAAGGAGTTCGCTGTCTATGACGCACGAAAGAGTCAATATTTCACAAAAAACGACTATGGGGTGCACGACGGTAGACCTTATATATGCAAGGAAAAGTTAAGACCCACATCAACAGAGTATACCCAGGAAGATCTATTAATGTGCAACGATTCAATCATCAATATAAAATACGATGATGAATACAAAGTTCGGACTGACTTTTCAATATTCTATAAGAACAAGGTGTACGATTATACTGAGTATCGAGTTCTGAATGATATCATCAAGATTTGTAAATCTACTGATACCTACGTAAAGAACATTTGGAAAGCACGCAATAAATGGGTAGAGGCGAGAATGCATCAGAAAAGTTGCAATAAGCCCATTAGAGAGTCTTGGTTGTACCGAAAGTATTACACTGTGAATAAGGAGTTCGCTGTCTATGACGCACGAAAGAGTCAATATTTCACAAAAAACGACTATGGGGTGCACGACGGTAGACCTTATATATGCAAAGAAAAGTTAAGACCCACATCAACAGAGTATACCCAGGAAGATCTATTAATGTGCAACGATTCAATCATCAATATAAAATACGATGATGAATACAAAGTTCGAACTGACTTTTCAATATTCTATAAGAACAAGGTGTACGATTATACTGAGTATCGAGTTCTGAATGATATCATCAAGATTTGTAAATCTACTGATACCTACGTAAAGAATATTTGGAAAGCACGCAATAAATGGGTAGAGGCGAGAATGCATCAGAAAAGTTGCAATAAGCCCATCAGAGAGTCTTGGTTGTACCGAAAGTATTACACTGTGAATAAGGAGTTCGCTGTCTATGACGCACGAAAGAGTCAATATTTCACAAGAAACAACTATGGGGTGGACGACGGTAGACCTTATATATGCAAAGAAAAGTTAAGACCCACATCAACAGAGTATACCCAGGAAGATATATTAATGTGCAACGATTCAATCATCAATATAAAATACGATGATGAATACAAAGTTCGGACTGACTTTTCAATACTCTATAAGAACAAGGTGTACGATTATACTGAGTATCGAGTTCTGAATGATAGCATCAAGATTTGTAACTCTACTGATCAATACGTAAAGAATATTTGGAAAGCACGCAATAAATGGGTAGAGGCGAGAATGCATCAGAAAAGTTGCAATAAGCCCATTAGAGAGTCTTGGTTATACCGAAAGTATTACACTGTGAATAAGGAGTTCGCTGTCTATGGCGCACGAAAGAGTCAATATTTCACAAGAAACGACTATGGGGTGGACGACGGTAGACCTTATATATGCAAAGAAAAGTTGAGACCCACATCAGCAGAGTATACCCAGGAAGATCTATTAATGTGCAACGATTCAATCATCAATACAACATACCATGATGAATACAAAGTTCGAACTGACTTTTCAATACTCTATCAGAACAAGGTGTACAATTATACTGAGTATCGAGTTCTGAATGATGGCATAAAGATTTGTAACTCCACTGATAACTACGTACGGAATATTTGGAAATTACGCAATAAATGGATAAAGTTGACAATGCATGAAAAAAGTTGCAGTAAACCCATTAGAACCTTTCGGTTGTACCGAAAGAATTACGCTGTGAATAAGCAGTTCACTGTCTATGACGCACCTGCGAGTCAATATTTCACAGGAAATAGCTATGGGGTGCACGAGGGTAGACCTTATATATGCGATGAAAAGTTAACATCCACATCAACAGAGTATACCCAGGAAGATCTATTAATGTGCAACGATTCAATCATCAATATAAAATACGATGATGAATACAAAGTTCGGACTGACTTTTCAATACTCTATAGGAACAAGGTGTACGATTATACTGAGTATCGAGTTCTGAATGATGGCGTAAAGATTTGTAACTCCACTGATAGCTACGTGAAGAATATTTGGAAAACACGCAATAAATGGGTAGAGGCGAGAATGCATCAGAAAAGTTGCAATAAGCCCATTAGAAAGTCTTCGTTGTACAAAAAGTATTACACTGTGAATAAGCAGTTCACTGTCTATGACGCACGAAAGAGTCAATATTTCACAAGATACGACTATGGGGTGGACGACGGTAGACCTTATATATGCAAAGAAAAGTTAAGATCCACATCAACAAAGTATACCCATGAAGATATATTAATGTGCAACGATTCAATCATCAATATAAAATTCGATGATGAATACAAAGTTCGGACTGACTTTTCAATACTCTATAAGAACAAGGTGTACAATTATACTGAGTATCGAGTTCTGAATGATGGCATAAAGATTTGTAACTCCACTGATAACTACGAACGGAATATTTGGAAAGTACGCAATAAATGGATACAGGCGAGAATGCATCAAAAAAGTTGCAATAAACCCATTAGAACCTTTGCGTTGTACCGTAAGTATTACACTGTGAATAAGCAGTTCACTGTCTATGACGCACCTAGGAATCAATATTTCACAAGAAACGACTATGGGGTGTCCGGCGGTATACCTTATATATGCGATGAAAAGTTCAGACCCACATCAACAGAGTATACCCAGGAAGATCTATTAATATGCAACGATTCAATCATCAATATAAAATACGATGATGAATACAAAGTTCGGACTGACTTTTCAATACTCTATAAGAACAAGGTGTCCGATTATACCGAGTATCGCGTTCTGAATGATGGCATAAAGATTTGCAACTCCATTGATAACTACGTAAGGAATATTTGGAAAGTACGCAATAAATGGGTAAAGTTGACAATGCATGGAAAAAGTTGCAATAAACCCATTAGAACCTTTTCGTTGTACCGAAAGTATTACACTGTGAATAAGCAGTTCACTGTCTATTTCGCACCTGTGAGTCAAAATTTCACAAGAAATAGCTATGGGGTGGAAGACGGTAAACTTTATATATGCGAAGAAAAGTTAAGATCCATATCAACAGAGTATACCCAGGAAGATCTATTAATGTGCAACGATTCAATCATCAATATAAAATACGATGATGAATACAAAGTTCGGACTGACTTTTCAATACTCTATAAGAACAAGGTATACGATTATACTGAGTATCGAGTTCTGAATGATAGCATAAAGATTTGTAACTCCACTGAAAACTACGTAAGGAATATTTGGAAACTACGTAATAAATGGGTAAAGTTGACAATGCATGAAAAAAGTTGCAATAAACCCATCAGAGTCTTTTGGTTCCACCGAAAGTTAATCATTGTGAATAAGGAGTTCACTATCTATAGCGCACGAAAGAGTCGATATTTCACAAGAAACGACTATGGGGTGACAGACGGCAGACCTTATATATGCCAAGAAAAGTTAGGATCCTCATCAACAAAGTATACTCAGGCAGATCTATTAATGTGCAACGATTCAATCATCAATATAAAATACGATGATGAATACAAAGTTCGGACTGACTTTTCAATACTCTATAAGAACAAGGTGTACGATTATACTGAGTATCGAGTTCTGAATACAGATAGCATCAAGATTTGTAACTCTACTGATAACTATGTAAGGAATATTTGGAAAATACGCAATAAATGGGTGAAGGCGAGAATAGATGGAAAAAGTTGCAATAAACCCATTAGATACATTAAGTTCGAGCGATGGGAATACACTGTACTTCAGAATTTTGGAATTCTGATTGCGGCAACAAAGCAGCTGATAACAAAGTACGATTATGCTGTGTCTGAAGGTAAACTTATAGCATGTGTGACCGAATGCGCCAATTTTACCTTCACTATAAAGTATGAAGATGAATACAGAGTATGGAACAACTTCTCAATGATGTACCAAGATCGCATGTACTATTATGATGAGTACAGAATAACGGACGATGGTCTACAAGTTTGTAATTCTTCTGACCGTCTCATTAAAGAAAAATGGCGAAATTTCATTGTTTCGGAAAAGATAACGACAGCTTTCAAACATTGTAATGTATCTGTGGACGGTTTTTACTCCGAAAATTACACATTACATACAAACTTTACTGTTTTCTTCAAACCTACCAATCAAAATTTCACAAGGGAAGATTACGGAGTGATTATGGGGTATTTTGCAATTTGTTCAAGAAAGCTCCGATTGTCCTGCAATGATGATTTGGTCAAAGTAAAGTACGATGAACAATACAATGTTTTTAGAAACTTTTCGCTGGTTTACCACAAGATGTACGATTATCGGGAATATCGATTAAGCCACGACAGTCTTGAAATGTGTGCTTCCAATGATTCAAGAGTTCAGGCGATTTGGAGAACGCGAAATTCGTGGCAAAAGTCATTACCCGCATCCTGTTATCGTTCTTACAAATTAAATGCAAGATACTACACTGTGACAAAGCAGTTTGCTGTGTATTCCGCAGATAACGGTCAATATTTCAAAAGAAATGACTATGCGGTGATTGACGGTAAACCTTATGTATGCGGCAAAGAAAACTTAAGACCAATATACGTAATTACGAACTTTAAGATTATTATAGCACCATTATGTGCTTTAGCGCTTTCTATTATTTCTTTGCTATTGTTGTTGATAGTTTACTGCATGCTTCCAGAACTGCGCACACTTCCTGGTTTGAATTTAATGAGTTTTAGCTTTGCCTTGCTGTTGTGGCAGACTTACCTGGTAGTATTTTTGTCACTGTATTCTCATGTAGGTAAACTGTTTGAGATACCGTGTGCTAGGCTGTTTGTAGCAAATAAGTTTATGACGTATAGTATAATTATGAATGCTGCGGTTAATATCTACCACTTAAGGAACACATTTTGTGGGAATACTCTAGTGAAATCTGATGAACTGAAGAAGTCGAACAGGTTTTTGAAGTATAGTTTCTTTAGCTGGGGAGTCCCTGTCATTATAACGATTGTTTACATTGTACTAGTAAAGGAAGATGTTCTAAGGTTTGATCGACCTCTTACGTCTGTGAAGAACGACGTTCAATCGATCTTAAAATTTTATCGACGCAATGTTAATGGAAATGCGGCGGCAAATAATATAGGGATTTATCACCGTATTGCATCCTTGAAGGGAGTTGTCCTGCAGTCAAAGTTTAATGAAAGCACTGACAATGTACTCGAAGATACCCAGTCCAGGTTAAATCAAAGCAATGTACTTGGGAAGGAAGATGATGCAGTGATTTATGAACCTATTGTATCTTTGAAGAAGGACATTCAGTCAAGCTTAAAATTTTATGAACGCATTGTATTCGCGAATGGAGATGGGAAGGAAGATGATGCAAGGATTTATCAACAGATCTCTGGAGATTGTATCAATGGTCGAATTACTCCCGATTGGTCAGCTGATGTTGATGTATATGGCATTCAAGGTTGTCTTTTGTTGTACATTATTGGAATGTTCATCTTCACTGCTTATCGAATTCGCCAAAAACTCAAGGCAAGCAGGAACATTGCACAGAAATCGAATATTGTTAAGCGTCATAAATTTGTCATATTGCTCAAGCTGTCAACCACTACAGCCTTAAGTTATTGGTTTCCTCTCTTCATATCTAGAATCGTGGATTTTGATTTCGACGTTAAGATCGCGTTGTATACTGTAACGTTGCTTACTGGTGCCTACATTGGTATTGCGTTTGTCTTCACACGAAGAAATTATCAGTTGTTCAAGAAAAAATATTTCCCAGCAAAGAATAAACCGCCAGTTAACGAAATTCCGCTAAATAGACTATAGGAGTATAGAATCTGTAATCACGTGCACTTGCAAAAAAAAATAATGTCTTGTATCCAATGTAAAAACGCTTATAGTACAATACTATCAATTTAAAATGTATGCACAGAATGTGTTTAAGATCGTTGTAGTATAATAAAGTAAATAAAACGCCTTGTGTCTGTCAGTTTCTTGCGGATGATGAGATGGGCGTAAGTACCCTAACAGTCCCCAATCCACCCCTGGAAAATCATAACATGGAGATATTTGGTGCAACGATTCAATCATGAATATAAAATACGATGACGAATACACTTCGTAAGAAAGTTTTTCTGTAAAATTGAAACAGTGATAGCTATTCATCTCGGTGTCAAATACCCTTTTAATGCAATGTTTCGAAAGAAACTTTGTAGTAATTGTAATGGCAAAATTGGATGAGTTGTACAGTCATAATTGATCAATACACTGATACTTATGTACACTACACGCATACATCACGTCGTTGACTTTGGACCATTCTAAGCCCTAGCTTTCCATGGGGGTCGTGAGCTAGACCGCTGCACCTCCCCTAAATTATTTCCACCAAAATCCGGGTTTGCCTCGGACCCCAACATCTGACACCCATGAGAACATTGAGAGGTTATTTCTAATTAGGCCAAAAAAAATATGTGGGTTTCCTACTTCTTCTTGTAAAAACTTAGGTAGGGCCAAAAAATATATACGTGGGTTTCCGATTTCCCGACCCTACCTAGCTTTCGGACGTCGAAATCCTGACCCTAAATTTTTTTATTGGATCATGCTTGTAAGTGTTTCCACTTAGAGGAAAAATTTTGCCGTGGAATTAAAATTGCGTGTCATATGATATTTTTAATAGGCAAATAGCGTTTGAGATATAGCAACATTAGCAAACAAATACACTGAAATCTTGGTTAGCACACAAACTTTTACCACTTTTAATGCAATATTACTAAACTGTAATACTGCCATATTTATTTAATCTCGCGTTTGTTATTTGCGCAACAGCAGTTTTGCCGTGGAATTAAAATTGCGTGTCATATGATATTTTAATAGGCAAATAGCGTTTGAGATATAGGCCTAGCAATATTAGCAAACAAACACACTGAAATCTTGGTTAGCACACCAACTTTTGCCACTTTTAATGCAATATTAGTCAACTTATAAGAGAACGTGAGACAAATCATGCTGAATTATTCGACTATATAACTCCTAAGACAGACGCAATAACCTTTATAGGTTTATTACAAATATGTAGACATTTGAGACGCCGTCAATGTCTGAAGAAAGGTATACTTAAAGCCTTTAAATAAACGAGTTCGATGTTACGATGTACAGTTTCTGGTCTTTTACCATAATTATCCAATGCTGGTTTTATTCGCTGCATTATAAACGTACCTCCTCCAAACAATACCCCTTCTTTAAAATACCAAACATTTCGAATGCAATTGAGATATGAAATCTCAGCAAGAAGACAATTCAAGATGGCAAATGGCCCGCAAATCAGTCAAAAGTGCAAATCAAAACCCATATTTACACGGCGAGTACGCGCAATTTCTGATCGGTTTCGTCACCATAGGTTTCAACCTATGGCTTCAGCCATGAAGATAAACTTTATTTTAATTTTCTGGTTTAACAACCTCACCAGTACTGCGTCGTAACAAACTAACAACATCACTAGTATTGCCTCGAAATGCAAATGTGAAATGTCGGCAGAAAAATACGGGCGCTTCCGATTGCTCCCGATACTTTACGAAAATCCGGACTGGACACCATGATCATCATCCCTACCTACGTTTTTATGAGAAGAAACCGGAAACCCACATATTTTTTTTTTGACCTAGGGTAGGTCGGTTTCAACTTTTCTTTTAAACTTTTATTTAAATTTCCTAACAACCGGACACCATGTTTATCTAGTCAGTGCTTCCACAACCAAAGATAAATTTCCCTAATATTGCCTCAAATTTCCATTTTCCACAAACGTTTTCCTCTAAGTGGAAACACTTACAAGCATGATCCAACAAAAAAGTTTAGGGTCGGGATTTCGGCGTCCAAAAGGTAGGGTGGGAAACCGGAAACCCACATATTTTTTTTTTTGGGCCTCAGTTCTGTACACAGGGGTCGATCCAGGTTCTTCAGAGAGATACAACTTTAATCATGCCAGTAAAAATGTAGTTTTACCTCTTGGCAAAACGTTCCAAGCAATTGTGTCCGTAACAGCGGTGAATATCCAATTCAGCTCTCCCAGCGGTGTGCGACGATCATTCAGTCTGCCAGGAATTCTAGTAGAGAACAGAAAATTAAGAGGAGAATCTTTTGTATGTTACGTTATACGCGCTCAAAAGAGCTGTCTGAGCCATAGATATCTTATATACACTAGATAGTGCATCTAATTATACTGCAATTCAAAAATTGAAGCCGTGACTGCAGACTCAGGATATTCCCATGAAATGAGAAGACTCGTATGTTTTCTATTTCTTAAACAGGGAACTTAAACATTAAGTTAAACCTGTTCCAAATACATTTTCAAACTATTCAAATGATGAAAGATATTATTTTTTTTTAAGCGTTTATTAGCGAGTGGGAAACTCCAACATGGCCGCCATCTATTCAAATGGGGGTAACCGCTGGAATATTCCTGGCTTCAATTTTACTAAAAGAGATGCGCTATCTAGTGTATATACGAGATCTATGGTCTGAGCAGGAACTATTGCCTCAGAGTTACTGCTGAGAGACCCAATCAGAATGCACAAAGGCCATTTTTTCAATACTGAAATTATACTAATGCTGTATAAATATGGCATCAATTGTGTTACACAAGCGCCAGGTACATGTAAAAGAGTATCTAACTGTGTAAAGTACAAAATAAAGCTAAAACAAAATAATTTTGAGAAGAACGCCAAAAGGATTTTAGGTTTTGAACACTTTTTATCGTAAATACATGACATTAAAAAAAAAATTTCCTCTTAAAAAATTGTACATTTATACACAAATTTGTGGAACTAATGAACATTGCCGAAGGGCAAGGACAAATTGATTAAATTTTGGTTTTTCCCACATTATGATGTCACACTGTGTATCTGCAGTATAAATGAACAGACAACCGCAAAATTTATTTATTTGCTAAAGGACATTGGCAATAAAAAATTAGTTTGTCTCATCCAAAAGAACTCTTAAAATTATATATTAAACTCTATTACCGATTTGTCATATCTTGCTTAGTTCCCGAAATATTTAGATCGAAATCAATGAGCTTCCGCCATCTTGGAAAAATTATTTAACTCATTAACTGCGGTTTTGATGACGTCAGGAGTTGGCTTAACCATATAAAACTACTCTAAAATGACCGAGTAACAATGCAAAATTGTTTGAAATGTTTTTAATCATTTCTAAATTTCAGACAGCAACCAGAAACGAAATTTTGGACCCATATTGATCGCTTACTCTCAAGATAAAAAAATTAGCGTGACCCCTCTCTTGACGTAACATGCATATCCTCAATAATCCAAGATGGCGAACAGCTCACTTTTTTCAGTCCAAATATTTTGAAAACTAAGCAAGATATAAACAATCTGTAATAGAGTTTAATATATAGTTTTAAGAGTTCTTTCAAATGAACTAAACTATTTTTTTATTGCCAATGTCCTTTAAATAGTATATGGTTCAAGTTAACAGTGTGCAATGTGCAACTTGCATATCGTTCTGGACCAAATAGTGAAAATTGCACATCACTTTTCCATACAAAGTCCAAAAAATCAGACTCCGTCTATTAATGAATCATCCGTATTTATAATTACATAGATTACTTAGATTTAAACAAAACCTATCTGTTGTCTTATAATTTATAAACAAGTGCTTTTGCATGCACACTAGCAGCATGTTTGCAGACCGGAAGATGTCAAATTTTAGCCACCATGACAGACAAACACGTGACGGATTATTGTATAATGTGTTAGGTTTATATATCAAAGATTGCAAACAATGTTTAAAAAGTATTCAAATAATTAAACTACTGCAGTTTGATTGAAATTATAAAAAATTAGAGTCACATTTTTTTTTAGAAAGTTGCACATAATTTTTTCTCTACTAATTTGAACCCTGCTATATATAGTGGATTACTGTAAGAGCTTACTTTTCAATCAAATCAATGTTGATTCCTTCTACTAATTTTCCACTGTTTTGCTGACAGAACCTTGAATAACATATAATATATGATTCAGGACAATTCTAATTCCAATAGAAAGAAAGTACATGCAGAGAAAATTGGACAGCAATAACTGTTCATTGAGGAAAGGTTTTATTTTCACAATCTAAGTACCATTATGGAGTCAAGGGTGCTCTGGAAGTTCTTGGAAGTTCTCAGAATGAGAAGATAACGAGAAGATAAATAAATGCGAAAGATTCAGTTTAACTATAGCTTACTCCAGAACAGGGTGTTAGCCAGACGGCCGTCCGACCGTCCTACGGACGGCCACTTCTGAATTCGGACGGCTAAATTTTAATGGACGACTATGGACGGCCTAAGGGAATATTTTCTTTAAATAGCAATTTACAAGCTTTGTAATATTCTTGAATACTTTGAATGGTTGTTATCTGCTGTTTACTTTACTTATGGTATATGTTTTGATACTTTTTTCCGTGCTTTAGAATTACAGTTACCAGGTAAAGTTGGCTATAAAATGAGCCAAACGCATAAAAAAAGAGGAAAATATCGGCGATTGATAAAAAATAACTAAACTACACTACGGTTCATACCATACGTGTGCTTTTACTAATTTAATGACGGAAATGTGCATCTAAAACTAAAAGTAAGAAGGTTCAACGAATAGAACACCACAATTCCACAACAACAAAAAATTGCAGCCACACCCAAAAACATGTGACCACGCCCACAAAAAATTGTGGTCACGACGCCCACAAAAATATTTTGGGCGGCCACTTTTGAAATGCTGGCTAACACCCTGCTCCAGAAAGGTCTTACATTTCTCAAGATGACCGACCATCTGCAGCCAGTGGTGGATCTACCAAGGATTTTTAGGGGGGGGGGGGGTGCTGGGCAAGCAGCCAAGCATAATGAACCCATCACTGGCTAGCAGCGTACTGTCATGAAAGTGCACCTAGTAGTTTCTCCGTTACAACTTACAGATATGTTGAATAAATAGAATTGCTTGTGCGAAAGACATAATGGAAAATTTTCACATTTGATTTTGTAATTTTTATTTTCATTATCAAATGCTTATAATGTTAGGCGTTTGCAGCAACAAAGCAATTTGCTTTATTCACTCAAAATATCAAACTAAATTAATTATTAATATTATTAGTATTATTATTAGTATTTTGAACCAGTGCTGCGGTGCTGCCTTGAATTCCAAAACATAAGTTAATCTGATAACAAACTTTGAACACCTCAACCATTTACTGTCGATGCAATGGAAGTGTTGATAAAATATTGCTTCAATTCATTTCCTCAAGTTGATCAATTCATACAAATTCAAATTTCTTTTTACTTCTTGTGCGTTTCCTATTGGTCAATCGGTTCTGAAACGAAATATAATTGGCTCATCTAGAAGTAACAGGAAGTTGATCAATTTTCTATCAAATGAATTGATCAACTTGAGGAAAGGAATTGGTGCAATATTTTATCAACACTTCTATTGCATCGACAGTAAAAGTAAGATTTTGTTTAATTTTTTGCACACCCCCCCTTGCACCCCTGTTGTCGAAGTCGAAGGCCAACATGGGTGCACACCACTGTGCACCCCCCCCCCCATAAATCCACCATTGTCTGCAGCTCTGTGATGCTTTCTGAAAAGCAGCAATTTCCAAATGAAATAACCACATAGCTTACCAGTTCAGTGCTGTCTTGATCGGTGTGGTCAGACATGCGGTGAAGATATCCGCAGGCAAATCAGGCTGCATTGGCAGGAGTTCATGTGGTTGACATGCTGCTATCTGGATACAATCTTTGAATGATGGCATTGGTGCACTTGTCACTTGAGCATTGCATCTCTAGATAAATTTACATTAAAATTATTAGAACTTACAACAGAGTAATTTCTATTTTACACCTAACCAGGAACAGTTGCGAAAAATGTAACCATATGCTGACTGTGCCACAGAGTCCAGTTGTCAAGCTCTAACCACAAGTTTGTGTATATATACTAATATGCTGGGGCAATCTACCGTGGGGGTGCAAGGGGGTTTGCACCCCACCTAGTGGTGTCTAGCACTCCCTAGAGAAGTCCAGCACCACCCTAAAAAATCTTCTTGACAATACATTTTCTGCTTTTCAAATAGCGACTAACCATTTAGCCGCAATCCTACTTATTTTTTTACTTGTCTAATGCCAGACAATTTTACTTGTCGATGGGAAAGCTCTGCAGCTTAATGGGTTAAAGGAACTTCTACTGTTTGCAAGTTTCAATTTCTTGAAATGGTTAAATCAACTAGCTCACATGTAGTCTGCAGAGCAGAGTGGCCAGTAAGGCTCCCTCATGCACCACCCCATAGAAAACCTGCACCCCTCCTGGGTAATGGCTAATTTCGATTCCTGCCAGAGGGACTATAGTTGCATTTTACACCTTACACCCTACAATAATTTTTGATACATAGAGAAGCAGACATGCTATTCAATACAATGCAATGCACACACCTCAAACTCTTTCTCACGTTGCTTTGAAAACTGGTTGAAATTCTCTAAAATTGTACCTGGAAAAATATTGTAGATGCATGGTATTAGAAATCAACCCTGTAGACTCTCCGAAGGTGGGAGTCAGAAAACCTTCAACATAAATGGGTGGGAATAAGATTAAATACCTGCACTGGAACAGTCATATACAAATATTGACGGATTTCCCATCCAGGTTTGTAAATCATACACAGACAAAGGAATATACTGAGTATAACTCTAGGAATAAAAATAATAGACTTATACTTCATAACTATTAACATGGTAATGGCAGGGTTAACAATTTTTTTGGGCCTATGCAATGAATTTCAAAAATTGTACACCATGCTAGCTTTGACCTACACATCCCCCCTAATATTCAATTTCAGTTTTGTTTTGAGAAGAAAGTATTTTTTGTTTTTCTTTTGCTGCCAAGAATTTATATGGCAAGGGTTCTGGTGTATAAAAGTGACTGAAAAATTGGCCTACAAATTTTTCATGAAATAGGGCAGCTAATTTTTCAGCCTACAAAACTGCTTTTTTGCATGACGATTTGTTGTTTGTCCCTGGAGTAATGGCATCATATTCTAACAGCAGGAAAAACAAATTTCTTCCCAACACAAAATTTTGTGCACTGTCCATGCTCCACATCTGACTCTTCCACAGTCCCTAACACTGCTTATAACGCAAAGGACCATGGGAATGCCACGAGGCGGCTTTTAGGCATCATTCAGCGCGTGTTGGGTAATTCAACACATGTTAAGTAAGCGACTGGGGACGAGTCAGGCTCCACATACCTTATTAAAAACCCATATTTCCCCATTTGCTGTAGGACGTGGCACCCCATGGCCATTGTAATGAAAGAGAACTCTCTCCTCCTGGTGAATCAAAAATGAAAAAGAATACAATATTATTAATAAACAGAGAATAAATATTATATTAAACTTTAATGCTCACAGCTATTAAAATACCAAGAAAAGGCAGATCAAGGCTTATTTGAAAGCAGAGACAGTTTTGAATACATGTAGTGGATAAGTCAAGAGAACAATACCTTTGCATTTCTTCTCAGACTTGTGCACAATTTTTTGATTTCATCCACTGTTGGATCTAAACTCAACTTGTACCTTGCCTAAAAATTCACACACAGAAGTCAATTACTTAATTAACTTATCAATGCCCAACACTTTACCATGACAAGTAAAACATCTGAGTAAAATAACAAAGTAGGGCAGGGTACATCAGGGTATGATCAGGGCACAATGTGCCTTGGTAAAATAATAAAGTCGGGTGCATTTGAGTGCATTACAGCACAATGGGTTAATGAAAAAATATCTGTGTCTAGCGATTGACTGATAATCAGTATCGGGCCAATTTTTACCTTATCGGTAGACAATTGGAATCGTTAGAATTATCTATATTTCCGATTGTCTAAAACTGATTGTTGAGAAAATATGCACTTTAAAAATTATAAGCATTCCATGTTGCATTTTAACGCAATATGTTAAATTAATGCATGAAGCATGTAATTTATTAACAGTTTTAATGATCTTTGGTTGCAGTTACCTTTTTAAGTTGGAAATTATCGTTTAAAAATCGACATGAATGACGTCACCTTTACTTGGTGGATTGATATTATGATGTCATCATTATAAAATTGATATCAGCATCAGTATTGGGTATATTGTGGCTTGAATAATTGGTAATTTCCAATTGTTGCACAATCGGTCAATCCCTATCTGTACATATTAAATACAGTATTCTACATACCCGTGGTTGCCATCTTTCATATTGTTTTTGCAAACGACCACCAATTTCATCTAGGGCTTTTTGTGGTGTCAAGATGCTTGGATCTTAAAAAAGAGTTAATTAAACCATGATTAAACCTAATTAACCTGCTAATGGGAAAAGGTGAACATGACCATTCACTCTCCTTTTTAAAAGATGAGGTCAAGTCTGTTCTGTGCATTTGCTATGTGAGGGCTGTCTGATGTAAACAATACCCACATTTTGTGTTTGTTTCAACATATTCTAAATTGAAAGTCTAATCTACATTGATTTAAAGCAATATTAGCAAACCAGAACAATGTTAGATATTCTGTAACTAAATGCACTTATATTTTATAAATATAGCGTCTTCAATAGGGGTGCACCGGATTTGGAATTTTCAAATCCGGCCGGAACCGGATTTACCGGATTTGGACAAAAATTCTGGCTGGATTTGAGATAAACCGGTAATGGGGACAATTGGGAATAAATCAGTATTCAAAATGACGGTTTATGTTTTTTACTATTATTAGTTAGTGTCAGTTTAGATTTTTGATTGTGTTTAAACTTTTTTAAACATCTTTTTGTTAATAACTTAATATTTTATAATAATATAAGTGTTTTTTAAACTTTAAAGCTGCCAAATTGATGGTTTATCCCATTCTTGGTGAAAACAGAAATTTAAATCCGGCCGGATTTTCTCCAAATCCAGCCGGATGCCGGAAAATTCGTTAAATCCGGCCGGAATTGAAATCCGGTGCACCCCTAGTCTTCAAAATGTAAACAAACTGCACATCTGCTGAACAAAATTAATTTTAATAATAATTTAATATATTTTATATAGCACCATTTCCCGAGACTCAACGGCATTTTATAAGTTTGGTAAAATAGATAAGTAGAAATTACATTAGTAAAAGTATTAAATTACAATATTCACATGCATGCGATTTAATAGGGTACAATCTAATCCAAGTATTGCCTATATCAGAGGGCCCTCACATACAGCAAACGACAGAACAGACTTGAACTCATCTTTAACATAAATAATGATGTTATTATTGTGACAGAATAAACATAGCTGTGAAACATAACTGTCATACAACTGTTGCAAAACATTGATGTCTGTGCGGAGTTTAGTTAGCTGCACATAATACAAGGATATCTGTACTTGATATTTAAAACATACCCATCCAACACTCCTTACGAGCACATGGGGATGTTTTGACAACATCTGGAGGATCAATGCCAATATTCAAACACAAAGCCAGGGCAACACTGACAGTTTTCATCTAGTAAATAAAATTATATATATATATATATATATATATAAAAAGACATAAACAACAAATTTCAATCTTAAAATTTTATTTCATCGCTACACAGTGTTTCACGTACAGCGTACGATCATCAGGCGATTGATGTTAATTATCTCGCAATAAATTACAGGTTGTAATTTATTGCGAGATAATTAACATCAATCGCCTGATGATCGTACGCTGTACGTGAAACACTGTGTAGCGATAAAATAAAATTTTAAGATTGAAATTTGTTGTTTATGTCTTTTTATTTGCTCTACTGATTTATTGGTGTTGAGCACTCTAGTTCACTACGCACAAATTCAATATTGAATATTATATTATATATATATATATATATATATATATATATATATATATATATATATATATATATATATATATATATATATATATATATATATATATATATATATATATATATATATATATATATATATATATATATATATATATATATATACCCTATATATATATATATATATATATATATATATATATATATATATATATATATATATATATACAGGGTGTATAAAAAAAAACTGAACAGATTTGAAATTGCTCTCAATTTCGCAAAACACCTATTTGTATCCGGTTTTAATATATATATAGCTTCGTTGGGTATTTATAATGTAGAATAATGAAAAAAATTTCTCGAACTCAAATTGTGTGAACCAGGGGGGTGTGTCTTTTCCAACAAACTAAAAATGGCTCGCGCACAAAATTTAAAAGCTGCAATCATATTTTGAGTTAATAGATGGAAAATTTGTCGGGTTTTTAATTACTGTACAAAATTTCAGATAATTTGGTTTAGTTTAAGCCCCTTAACTATTCACGCAAAGTTACATTTTTCCTAAAAATCAGCTATTTGCATGCTTAATTAATGCATTTGCCTAATTTGCATATGTCAGCAATATGCAAATTAGGTAAAAGCATTAATTAAGCATGCGAACTGATTTTTTAGAACAAAATGAATAGTTAAATGGCTTAAACTAAACCAAATTGTCTGAAATTTTGTACAGTAATTAAAAACCTGACAAAGTTTCCATCTATTAACTCAAAATATGATTTGTGCGCGAGCCATTTTTAGTTTGTTGGAAAAGACACACCCCCCTGGTTCACAAAATTTGAGTTCGAGAAATTTTTTTCATTATTCTACATTATAAGTACCCAAAGAAGCTATATATATAAAAAAACCGGATACAAATAGGTGTTTTGCGAAACCTATTCAGTTTTTTTTTATACACCCTGTATATATATATATATATATATATATATATATATATATATATATATATATATATATATATATATATATATATATATATATATATATATATATATATCACATGTCAAAATTATATTTAACCATGGGGTAATTCAGTGTTGGCCAGTGTAAAAAATATAATATGTTGGAAATAAACATATCACTTAATCAGCCTAAAGTAAAAGAAAAAGGATTTGAGTGGCTGATTACTGACTGACAGATGGATACTAGATAGATAAATAGATTCATATAAATATTGCAAGCAATAGGCTGACCCTGAATTATGCTTATATTTAAAAGTTAAGAAAATATTAAAATACTATACACTAAATGTCTCTAAAAAAGATCTAAAAAAATTCTAATAATTTATTAATTAATTTTACAACAAATAATTTAATGCATTATGTATATAATAACACTATTTTTAAATACAATTTAAAACTATTTTTAAATGGTTCATATTTATAATGCACTATATACATTGTACTCTGTAAACCAGCAAAATACACCTGTGATCTAATAAGTACATATTTATACATAAGTTTGTCATTACATAAGTACATTATATAAGTTTGTCATAAAAATTTCTTCCCCTAGACAAAAATTTACTTGTCACAGTATATGATTTCTCCATGAAGATTTTGAAATTTAGACCTTCTGAAATGGCATTCCCAGGATTTTTGTTATATTATTCAAATATTTAATGAACAATATTTTTTAAAATTTATGTTGTTATAAAAAAAAAAATCCTTTCCCTTCGAGTCCTTGACATTTCTGTGGCAAGAAAGAAATTTCTTGGGTTCTTGGTTGTATTTTAGAAAAATAACTGGCTGTGCCAAAGATGGCGAAAACCGCACAGTGCTAGCTAATGTATTGGGACTCGGCCTACTAACTTCGACCTACTATCTAAAACTTTTAAATTCTGACATTTATACAAATGTACTTTACTCAAATATTTTCATAATCTCATAATTCCAAGTAAAATTTGTTATATCTGACATTTATATGAGATGTTTCTGGGAAAACCACCTATACATGCCTGAACACGCAACAAAGAGGAAACTTAAGGGATTAAGCAATCATGCAAAAACAACAACAAAGTGCACTTTCAAAAACACCTTTTTCAATGCTTTCATTCCTTGGCCGATCAATGATTACACTTTCTAATGATGTGATATTATGTACTTTATGTACAGCTAACACCAGAAAGCTACAGATTTAGAAGAATTAAACTACCTGAAAAAATACAAGTAAAACTATGATGTTTTGAGAGAAGGCTCTTCACTCGAAAGATAAAAGTTTTACTTGTATTCTTTCAGATAGTTGAATTCCTCTCAATCTCCAGATTTCTGGTGTTACTGTCACAATCTACGCTATCACAGTCTGTTGGATACACACAATCTGTTGGATACATTGGTTACATACAGTTAATCATGATAACAAAGTAATGTATTGATGATATTTTTCTGTGTTTGTGTAATGTACTCAGGTGAATATGATGCTTGTGATGTTAATCTGAGTGTATATCCACACCGGGCAAGCTTGAAAAATATGCCTGGCCATGGTGGGAATCGAACCTATAACCTTTGGAATACTAGCCCAATGCTCTGCCAACTGAGCTACACAGTCAGGTCGGTTCGAGTATGTGATATTTTGGAACCGAGTCTAGTTCTTTCGATATCAATGTAATCTAGTAATCATTTTTTTTCTTCCTTAAAATAAAATATCATGACTACTAGATTACATTGACATTGAAGGAACTACACTCGGTTCCAAAATATCACATTTATTACTCAAACCGACCTGACCGTGTAGCTCAGTTAGCAGAGCATTGGGCTAATATTCCAAAGGTCGTAGGTTCGATTCCCACCATGGTCAGGCATATTTTTCAAGCTTGCCCGGTGTGGATACACACTCAGAGTAACATCACAAGCATCAAAGTAATGTATTGTTTTCAGAGGTTATTTGGGTATGGTAGCAGGTCAATTTTTTCCTACTGTAATTGTGAATTAGCACAAGGAAATAATGATGCTTGCATAGTTTGATCAAGGCAACAAATGGTTGTTGTGTAAGCATGCATTTAAATGCCAAATTCACAACAACCAAAAGTAAACAAATTATGGAAAGACCACCATCGGCACCATGACCAACACACCATGACCAACATATTTAAATTTGGTGTTAATTCTCATACTAAATGACCAGTCAAATATAGTGTAACTGCACCATAGTTGAAAGGAAACAGAACGAGAATTGTGTGAATATGCATTTGATTGCCGGCGTCAAATGACACCCACCCAATGTAGTATTCATTCATTTACTATAAAAAATCAAATGCAATTATACAAACCACTATAATTCCGACACTATACCTAGCTCATAATAAGTCTTTTCACATGTCATTTTATACAGTAAAACAACCACATCAAACCGAAAGCAAAAACACCAGAACATACCCTTTCTTTCATTCGCCAAGTCTGAGCAAGGGGTTGTGCTCCCTCGATACATTCGCGGTGTCGCTTCTTCATGAAACATAGTGGTAACTGCCAGTCAATTATCTCGCCCTCGTCTTCTTCCCCACCGCTTTCGTCGAGTTCCGCCTCCTCTAAAGACATTTTAAAACGAAAACCGGCGACCACGGCCCATACAAGTTTTGTTTCTTCTTAGTTTTCAGTTTTACATATTTTCTTGTTATTCCTGTACACGTTCTAGAATTTTTTCCGCGTCATAGCCAAGGACTGAGGCGAGTAAATTTTGACACTGATCTCAAAACCTGATTGCAAATGTAACTGGACTGACGTATATAATTTTGACACTCTGATCTCAGAATGTAACTGGATATCAATGTTTTTCAATTGTTTTTTTACTGTCGTTTGCATCTAAAAATTAACAGTGCAAATACAGTAAAATAGAGTGAAATTGAATGAAACTTGTCAAGAAAGTATTTGGTAAATTTAATGCTCAATTAATTATCAATTACTGTAATATATTTATATTACACTATATTCATTATTATAATATAATTGTAATAATTTTATAGTACTTTCACACTTTGTATGGTTGTAAAGTTAATAAATAAACAAATAATGCATAAATAAATACAGTAATATATTTATTATTAATTTTCTATATTACGTAATTGTCGCAACCGTAATTCTAGGTCCTGGCGACTCATTGCCGACTTTTCGTGCGGTGGTTAGTCGCCGTCAAAAGTACAAAAAATCGGCTGTGATCTGTTCAAGTCAAAGTACAAAACAGCCAAACTTATTTATATTTTTGAAAGTATTTTATGTTTTTTATGTGGATGAAATAGTTTGACTTGGAAATGCATAATTTTGTACGATTTTTAAGGCCAGTTTCAAGAAGTCCACGTCTCGAATTATCGAGAATTCAGGTAAAATGGCGAGAATTTTTCCAACCTATAAACTGGTTTATAGCTATGTCAAGCAATATAATTTCTTATATCTTATGTTCATGAGCAAATGCGTATGGTATATTATTAGAGCCATGTTAAACTATAGGAAAAACATCTAAGATTTTATCAATAGGAAATTAATATTTTCTTTTTGTTTAATTTAAGTCCATCATTTGTAAACAGGAAAATATATAAAAATACATGCAGTAAAAAAATTTTTGGATCATGAAAAATAGTAAGTTATATTCATCCAACACCAGACCTTTAAGTTCTATGGCTATTGATCTGACATAGTATTATGCATGTGCACATGCAATATTCACGTTTTTATGGACAATAAATGTTTATGAACCTGTCGCGCACTCTAATTACCCCTATTCTGACCCTAACCTGTTCTTATCCTAACCGTTCTGGCCACTCGTTTGCAGGTAGAAGAACTCTAAAGGCCTGATTCCACGGGCGCTTTTTCTTGGCGAAATGCGAAATATTTCGCCTGTTTCTTTTGAATTGCGACCACTCGAATAAATTATTTCTACTTGATTGCCCACAATTCAAAAGAAACAGGCGAAATATTTCGCATTTTGCCGAGAAAAAGCGCCCGTGGAATCAGGCCTTAATACACATACACTTGAAATTCCACTCTGGGATTTGATCCGGGTGATAGCGCATGCAAAGGCAACTGCCTTAACCACTTGGCTACTGAGGAATTGCTTGAAATCAACTGGTGTCATTTTAGCATGTTTAAAGAATGAGGAAAACACTTTTGTCAGATCTATAGCCATGTAACTTAGGTTCCGGTGACAGAACAATAACCACAGCATAACTATTATAAAATTGTCATTCTTTTATTTTCTGTTTTCAACTTTATCGTAGTAACCTCATGGTAACCTCATGGTTGCAACTTCGTTGCTCGCGACTTTGTCGCTCGTCCGAGGTTGACTTGTTAGCAAGTCTACTGTCTGCCGTGCGTAAACACCTCACCAGCAGTACTATATAATATTGATAATGTGTTAGACTTGCTAACAAGTCAACCTCGGACGAGCAACAAAGTCGCAAGATGAAGGACTTTGCAAAAGTCTAGGCAGACAGTAAAAACCAAGTAACAGGTTATCAATATTTCAGAGTGGTAACTGGGTAACATATTACTGCACATACCTGAATGATAACCTGATGCAGTGGGTATATCTGCCACAATGAGCAGCAAATATGCTACATTTTATTTCAAAAAACGTTCTCTTATGAATGTGGGAGCAAATGTACTGCACATACTCAGACTATCCATGGACATTCACACAATACCGGACAAATTCAAGACTGTATTCAAATTTGTCCAGTTCAATTTTTCATATGGGAAATCATATTATTCATATGATTAGTCTTGTTCGGTCGATCTACGATTGTCCTGTGTTCACACACAAAGTGAATGGAACCTCAGTAAGGCTGATTCTGTCCCACAAGCATTAAGCCAATATTTTGTAACAAAATATGTTTACCGATGAACTATGTATTTTAACCCATTGAGTGGCAGCACTCTCCCCCTGACAAGTAAAATTGTCTGGTGTTAGACAGAGTAAAGTGATCTGGCATTAGACAGTGAGAGTAAAATAATACAATCTGGGTGGGCAGATGGTCTGATTAACCCCTTGAGTGGCAGCACTCTCCCCCTGACAAGTAAGTAAAATCATCTGGCATTAGAGTAAAATAATCTGGTATTAGAGTAAAATAATTCATTGCACAAACTATGTAATTGTGTCAACGTCTCAACGAGTTAAGGCATTGGCAGATAGTATGGTTTATCCATTTAATATTTTCCCACAGCAAGTAAAAAATCATCTGGCAATTTAGCTATGAGAGCAAAGTAAATTATGCCTGGCCAATGGTGCACCTTACAAGGCAATGGTTTGTTTTTAACAAAATCTGGCTGAATTCCATAGCAATTTCATTTAGGTCCGACATCTTCCACTATGTGTTACACCACTCAGTGAGCCACTCGAAAATCTTGAAGTTGAAGAGCCTAAAACTATCTCCTATTCATCTGATGTTCAGGTACAGTATTAATATAACGAGTCATTCCAGAAAATGTCCATACCTCCCCAATGGAGGTTAACCCCTATCCTCTGGACTCCTTCAGACTTCCCGGTGCATGTTATTACCAGAAGTAATTTTTTACCTGTCACTCCAAACTGCAAGAATTTCCTCCGTAGGTAGAGTGTGGATATCTTTTGGAATGACTCAATGACCCAATATTATAATGTGATGATATTTTGAGTATAGCTGGTCCAGTGTATAGGTCGTCTGGTCAAACCTTTCCATAGAAACACACCTCTCTATTATAGAGTACATGTTTCATTGTCTTGAATGCATATTAATTCTCACAATTCTCTCTTCATATTATTTTGAAATATGTTTAGGTGACAACGTTAAGTAATGGTCTAAAAGTGGCATCGGTCGACAGCGCAAGCCCCACATCGAGAATTGGATTATTTTTTAAATCTGGAAGTCGATACGAGACCTTCCAGAATAGTGGCATATCACACATTTTGAGATGTGGTGCTTTCCTGGTATGTACAGTATAATGATGAAATATAGAGCTAAGGCAGTCAACATTTTAGTTACTATGGACGTTACAGATGTAAAAGCAAGTTCTAAAACTAAAAGACGACAGGCCATTTGGATTCTTGAAAACTACAAGTAAAACTTCGACACTTAGAGCGAAACGTCAAAATCTTGCTTGAATTTTTCAGGTAGCTGAATCCCTTATTACTCAATTCTCATGCATATAAGCATTTATATAAAAAAATTACAAAAAGAAAAGAAAACCCCAGTTATTTCTTTTTTGGCCTCATGAAAGGTCAGGTAGTAGTGGTAAGTATAAAATTGAGTTGATCATGCGCTAGTAATGTAATGATCTAATATCTACTATTTTAGACCACATCAGATCATACAGGTTTCCACATCTCTCGAACAATGGAAGAAAACGGCATAGATTTAGAGTAAGACATCAATAAATTGCATATTATGAACAACAATTCCCAGCATGTAGATGAGGATTAAATACATGCTCAGTTCAATTTATCTGTACTAGTTGTGCAACTTTATTCAAGTGTTCCTAATTTGCTTTTCAGGGCATCATCTACAAGAGAACATCTTATATATTCAGCTCAATGTTTGAAAGATGATGTGTGAGTGTGGCAATATATGTACAAGAAATTACGGGAACCACTGAGTATTTTAATAAAATATAAAACAACGGTAACTCCGAAAATAAACATTTTCAACTAAGATTATCTATGATAATCATGATTATCTGTGATTACCTATGATTATATATGAATATCATAGATTATCTATGATCATCATTATGATGACTGAATCTTAGTCGAAAGCTAGAATATTAAAGTGTTTATTTTCGGAGTTACTATAATAGTAAATTTAAGGCCTTTGTTTATATATAGCAGGGCGATCTCAATTAGATTTGATTTCAAACTAGAATTTTAACGACACTATAAATGAAAAAAAAAGAAATCATTGATCTGTATCCCACTTTATGTCTGTCAGTGTCTAAGATAATTTTGATTTTGTCTAAGATGTTAGGGGAGACTCTTGTGGTGTTAATTATTCATTTACATATGTTTATTGATATATCAATTGATCTTATTAGGAGTCTTGTTATTCCGTATCTTGCAAGTGTGGCCCGAGCTCCTGAATTTCGACAGTGGGAGGTAATGCTTACACTTTGCACAATTCACATCACCCAAAAATAATGTGTTGTCATGTGTATTTTGGTATGATGAATGCTAGGGAATGATGAATATAACGATATGATTACAGCTGTACACAGTATAATCCAGTTTCTCCCTTGTAGCTTGAAGATATTGTAGAAAACATTGAATTAGACCTGGCTATGGCTAAGACTAATCCACAAATAGGTACTGTATTTTTCACTTTGCTACCTCACAATGCGATGATTCGAGATTGTTAGTCATACCTGACTGCTACTCCAATGGTTATTGCTACGTGCTCAAGCTGGTAAAACCGTATTGGCTGAAAAAAAGAAATACCAGACCGTAGTATGGGCGTGCCTCTGATATTCTGTATTTTTGTTATTTTAAATTCATTTGATAAACGTCAACGGGGATTATGTCAGCAAGGCCGGATTTTGGTGGAAATAGTGGGTGAGGTGGAAAAATATTTAGGGGAGGTGCAGCGGTCTAGCTCACGGACCCCCATGGAATGTTAGGGCTTAGAACGGGCGAAAGTCAACGACGTGACGTATGCATCATGTAGTGTACAAATGTATCAATGTAGGAGGCTATTAATGAATGAGGACTGTACAACTCATCCAATTTTGCCCTTCGTTTCAATTACTACGAAGTTTTTTTCAAAACATTGCATTAAAAGGGTACTTGACACAGAGATGAATGGCTATCACTGTTTCAATTTTACAGAAAAACTTTCTTACGAAGTGTCGACCCTAAGCAACCAAAAATTTCAAATTTTCACTTCGACCTATCATTGAAACTTTCCCAAATCCGACCTTGGATTATGTTTTGTGTCTAAACCACATTGTTCTGCTTGCAGGATTAATTGAAGAACTACACAAAGTCGCATATAGGTGAGTGCTAATTATACCAATATATATACTGTAGCACTATGTGTATGGTACAGTACTATCTGGAACGTATAATAGTTTTGTTTGTGGAAACACCACGTATATTTATTAGTGCAAAACTTTCGATCCGTAAGCCCGGATCTTCATCAGTGCTAATAATATCACTGATGAAGATCCGGGCTTATGGATCGAAAGCTTTGCAGTAATAAATTTACGTGGTGTTTCCACAAACAAAACTATTATATGTTTTATCGCCATGCAAACATACAAAGAACTTATCTGGAACGTGTTTTTGATTGCGTTCCATGCATGTACCATAAGAGCACGTTTCGGATGCGTTTGGAACGTGTACACAATATTTCTTTTCGTTTTCAGAAATGGATTAAGAAACTCGATCTACTGCAAACCTTACAAAGCCAATAAATTTACAACTGAAATGGTAAGAGTAAAGATGTCTTCCTATACGACGCTGCATGTTGTACACTTCGTATGAAGCACCGATCAAATGAGAGTTGTGCAACACTCATCGACATCAAATCTTATCAAATTTGAGCTGTTTCAAATTTTGATTGGAGTTGATGAGAATTGACGAGAGTTTTTGCTAGTGCGTTTGAATAGTAATCTATACTATAGGCAACTCTCATGCAATTCTCGTTTGACCGGGGTATGAGAGTTGAGAAAACTCTCGTGCAAACTCTCGCTTCTCAACTCTCATCAACTGTCAATTTGTTTTTGCAGCTCTTAAATTTTGTCAAAGACTCGTTTGTTGGCAACCGGATGGCTTTGGTTGGTGTGGGTAAGAAGTTAAGAATAATTTCCTGAAGAATTATTTGAAAGGTGTATTTCACATATACATCGACATTGTATCTTGTATTTTCTTCAATACCAGGTGTGCCTCACGAAAGTTTAGTTGGTTTATGTGAATCTCATTTCTCTGCAATCCCGGCTGGAAATGCTGTTGTTAACGAAAAGCCAAATTATACTGGAGGTAATACTGTAGAGTATTGCAGAATTTGTCATCTTCTTCGCTCAAGGCAGCTCAAATTGCTACATCGAAAACCGGTCAAGTAAACTATTTATTTTTAAAATTTATTAACAGGTGAAGTTCATTGTGAACAATCAGATGGCCTCGTTCATATTGCTCTTGCATCGGAAGGCGCAAGGTAGGTTTAGTTTAGATTTCTTCTTCTACAGGAACATCCCATGTTAGTGCAGGAGGAAACCTAAACTAAAGTCTTTCAGCTTTAATTGTCCCCCGTAGAGGTTCACACTCGATTAGCACCAATCCTGCATGGCTCTTTTCATAGTTCTATTATCCGGTAACCGAATATTGCAGGAATTAAACACAGCCACAGGTCACAGAATTGTACCACTTACTGAAATTAAGTATATTTCTGATTCTTTAGCACCAGTGACAAGAATTACCTTGCGTTTGGTGTTTTACAAGTAAGACAAAGCCTTCTCACTACTCTACCTTTTAATAGTGTAAATTTTACCTTTATTAATCAAGCGTTTCAAATTTGTGAAATCAGTTTATCATCAAATCAAAATATGTTTTTCCTGCAGCGAGTTCTTGGTGTAACACCATTTATCAAATGGGGAAGTAATACCACATCATCAAGGTAATATGACATTCTCAACAACACTTTCGAAATATTACGAACACACTCGAAGTAACTTAGTAGCATCATCTCAAATATTTCCAATGTTCAATTGTTCTCTTAGGATAAATAAGGCGGCGCAAGGAGTGACAGATGGGCCATTTATGGTAAGCAAAACCGAGTACAATCATTAGGTATATATTATGAAAACAACCCACCATGGGCGGATTTACTGGGGTGGGGGGTTAAACCAGGGATGGATTTGCTGGGGGGGGGTACACCCCCCCAGCCCTGGCCAGAGGGGGTGCTATTTTTCATGATAAAGCAAAAAATTATTAGAGACAAAATGAGATACAGTAATTTGAGTAATAACATGATGATAAGCAAACTGTGAACAAAAATTACAATTCAAAGTGTCCAACCCAAAATTAAAGGTCGCTTCACCCCTCCTATTTTGTGCGAGTCTTTAACCGTAATGCCTAACCCCTGCCGAAGTTAGCTCATATGTCTTGAACCCCACTAGAAATTTTTCCACCCCTCCTTTAAAAAAACCTATCTATTTCAACTTCAGGGATCAACATTAAACATCAACTATTCAGATTCTGGTTTGTTTGGTTTCTATACGGCAGCTAGCCCTAAGGATGCAGGCAAGGTATATGAATGAGGCGTAGTATACTAAACAGTTACGGCTACTATGGCCTGGTTTACACTGTCAAAGTTTCTGTGATCACAGTAGGAATTTTGCATAGGTAAATTCTAAGTTTTGAAGGATTTATAAGAAATGTTTGAGGGAACTGACTCAGTGTTTATAGTTCCGTCAAACATTTTTCCAAATCCTTCAAAACTTAGAATTTACTGATGCAAAATTCCTACTGTGATCACAGAAGTGTAAGTGATAGTGTGAACCAGCTTAAAGCTGGAGTAATACGAGCAACAAAATTGCTGCAACTTGCAACAAAATCTGATTTCTACGCATGTTATTGAAAATATTTATACACATACATTACAAATCACAGGGCAACATGTATCGACATTTCTACTAACATGCGTTGAAATCAGATTTTGTTGCAAGTTGCAGCAATTTTGTTGCTCGTATTACTCCAGCTTTAACAAACCAAGTGTGGCTACATGTTTCTTGTACATTTCACTGGACTATAATTTTTCTCCACAGGTTACACGTGCTATTGTGGATCAGTTTGGTAAAGTATCCAAAGGCGATGTCACGAAAGAAGAGGTCGAACGAGCTAAGTACGTTGTTGGACTGACTGTATGTAGATTTATGAGGTAGAATGTATCCCAGTAATACGTTTTTCTTTGTCTACCAGAAATCAACTAAAATCCAGCATACAAATGTCAGGCGAGAGCTATGTTGACCGAATTGAAGACATTGGCACACAGGTTTGAGGGCAGATCTTACAGGCCTTTTTACAGACTGGAGATCTTATTCTGCCCACTCAGTCGATGTAGTGACGTCACACCGAGCTTCTGAACCTAACCCTAACCCGAACGTTTCCGACAAATCTTCGGTGTGAAGTCACTACATCAACTAAGCGCAGACTAGTTTTTCCCTTTTATACAGACTGCATTGGCAGTCTGGCATATCGACTGTTGTACTCAATTTATGACGTCATTTTAGGTTTTAATTAGTGGGACATATACCTCACCGGACTCGTGTGCTCAGTCAGTGGATAAAATCACATCTGAAGATGTTGTCGATGTAAGTGTGTGTACACAGTGTTTATATATTGAACTAGGACACAGAACTATTTGACCAAAGTATGACCCTAAAACTGCGTTACGCCTGGTTTACAAGAAATGATCGATGGAACTGAACTAATGTTAAACAATGAGTCAGTTTCCTCAAACATTTCTTACAAATCCTTCAGAACATAGAATTTACCCATGCAAAATTCCTACTGTGATCACAGAAACTTCGAGTGTGAACCAGCCGGCTTTACACCACGGACGTTTCTGTGATCACAGTGGCTACAATTCTACAAATCAAACATATAGACACGGTATAGAGACCACAGGGAAGTCCGACTCAGTCAAAAAGGCGTCGCCATGTTCCTAGCCATCGCTTACGAGAGGCCACCCCCTCTCCCCAAATCATAGGCGCCGACAGGAAATCGTGACTTCTGTGTGGTCTCTGTTCTGTGGTATGGACGTGAAATGTTTAAGGTCCATTTCAACTCAAGGCAATTTCAGCGGAAAGAAAAATTTTCAAAATGTGTGATTGGCAGACACAAATTTTCGGTCGGAAAAAATTTTGAAGTTGCAAATTTTCAACTTTTAACAATGACATTTTCGGAACATTTTCTGTCCGTGGAAATTTTTCTTGAGTGGAAATGGACCTTCAGATTCGAACGAGACAAGCAACATGAATACACCATTCTCATACCGAGAGCCCGTCTTCCGCACAGCGCTTTGGGTACGAGAATGATACCACACAAATATCTTGCATTTTTTTTTCAGGCTGCTAAACAGATTTTTGCGAAGAAAGCAAGTCTGGTTGTACTGGGTGAAAGTGACTCGTTACCGCATCTTGATGAACTATTATAATGCTCGAAATAATTTCACTTGAATATTGTCGGCGAGAAGAAAAGTTGTTTATGAAAAATTTGTTAAATAAAGTTTTAATCTGAAACGTTCACGGTTCAACTTATGCTTTAATACAGCCCTGAAGGCTCCTTTCCACTCGTCCTAAACGCAAGCTCGCTGCTTCACCCAAAAGCAGAAGTGTACAGTAATATTAAAAACGTGTTCTGACTAACCTTACGTCATTTATATACGTGGACTTTTCAGCCTTGATATTCATGAACATGCATTTGAAAATCTTGTCTTTACCGTTCAACCAACCCGGACGAACCTTTCTCATCGTCCCTTTATACTTCAAACCTTGTTCAAGACTTCGCTTGCATATATATAATCTTCTTTGTTCTTTAAACTCAGTTTATATATCGATAAAGGAGCTGTAGTATAAAGTCAAGTCACGCGCTCGAACAAAAAAATGGCGTGGCATGGTGTTCTGAATTCATATGCAAAATTCTTTTACATAAGCACACTGCAAAGTCCCAAGGGAATTTGCATGCTTACAAGCGTTAATTGCATGTAGTCTTTATGTAAAAATCTCACAACCTGTCAACAAGATGTGTTCGCAACAGGCTTGTGGCAAGCTTGTCAACAAGTTGTAACGATGTTGTTATTTTATCAAGTTGCAACAAGGTTGTCACTCACAACATGTTGACAAATTGTTGAATTGCAGGACGATAATAAATTGTTGGAACAACTTGTAACAAGTTTGTTGAGCTCAACAACCTTGTAGCAAGTTGTCAACAAGCGTTGACAACTTGTCAACAAGCTGGGAACAAGCAGTGCGAACACATCCTGTTGACAAGTTGTTGGAACAGTATTGCTACAAGTCTGCTTCAGGTTTGTTACAACTTGTAAGTTTTTACGTGTATGCAGGGTTTCTAAAGAAAAGTGAACCTTTAGAAATGCACCTTCAGACTTGTTACAAGGTTGTTCCAACAAGTCTGATATGGTCATGATATAACAAGAATGTCACAAGGTTGACGACACAAGGTGTACAATATCACAGAGGAAGTACATACAGAGATCTCACTTCAGGTTAATTTCGCGTAAGGAATTTTTTCAGTCCGCCATGTTCTTAGCAAGTGCCCTAAAGAGAGGCAGTCACCCCCCTGAAAACATTGAAAATTTAATATTCCGGGGGGGGGGGTGAATGCCTCTCTTTAGGGCACTTGCTAAGAACATGGCCGCCAGTTATTTCGGTAAAAAAGCGCCTTACGGTTTTGTAATGGAAGTTACACTTCTGTATGTCTTTATTATGTGACAATATTGTTATATCATGACTGTACTGGACTTGTTGGAACAATCTTGCAACAAGTCTGATAATATCAGGTTTGTTACAAGTTCTTAACAGCTTGTTTCAAACTTGTTGACAACTTGGGACAAGCAGTGCGAACGCGACTTGTTAGGCTAAGTTGGCAGACTTGCTACAAGATGTGAGATTTTTGCGTGTGTAGCTCAGCAAGTTTCTCTAGTGTGCGGATAGTTTTCGTGAGAATTTACATCTTGAGGAAACTATCTATCGTGTTTGATATTTTTCACACATCGCGTGGAAAAAAACTCAACGTTTGCTGATGTTGTGAGCTCAGTGCTGAGCTGCTTGAATAACTACGCCATGGGCGGGCGTGCTCGAAATCATGGCTCTGTGTTTTGGATTGCGTCGCAAAAAAGGTCTCGTGTAACCCTGGACATTCAAAGGAATCCTTTGAATGTCTGTGGTGTAACATGATAACAAAATCATCACAGCATATGTGTACCGTATATGTACCAATAATACATGCCAGACTTTAATTTGAACTTCAATAAAAAATATATTCTTATAATCTCAACCATAATTTGGCACTACTTACTTTACACGTACAGATCATGTGAGTTGAATTTGAAGGCATAAAACACGGCCAAAATGTGCCATGAAATTTTATTTTGTGAGTCTCAGTGAAAACACGAGTAATTTTGATACTGATGACAAACAGAAAATGTGCCCCATTATAATTATTATACCATATATATACATTTCTGAAAATATTTTTCTCTATTAGTTTTATATTAAATTTTTCAAATAAATCTCAATAATAATTGCTTAGTTTGGTGAGTGAACATTTAAATCATATTCCACGATCGATAAATATTGAACGATTATGTACATTATAGTGCTCTCAATGATTTGCCATACATCGGCCATATATACTTATCTGAGCGTTTTACAACGTTGCACGAGGGCTCCTGACGTCATGCATGATGATAGGGATTGCAAGATTTGCTCTTCGTTTCTCGAAGCTCATAACGCCCTGAAAATACAAGTCCACGTGTTAGGAGCGTACCAACATATTATGCATTATAACTTATATGTTTAAACTGCACACTGAAAGGTCGCACATCTTGTGGCAAGTCTGCGAACAAGCCATCAACAAGTTGTGTTCGCACTGCTTGTCCCGAGACCGAGTTGTCGACAAGTTTGGAACAAGCTGTTAACAACTTGTAACAAGTTTGATGACATTATCAGACTTATTGCAAGGTTGTTCTAACACGTCCGATACAGTCATGATATAGCAATATTGTTACAACCTTGTGTCGTCAACCTTGTAACATTCTTGTTATATCATGACTGTATCAGATTTGTTAGAACAACCTTGTAACAAGTCTGATAATGCCGGCAAGCTTGCTACAAGTTAATAAGTTCTTTGTATGTTTGCATGGCAATAAAACATATAATAGTTTTGTTTGTGGAAACACCACGTAAATTTATTACTGCAAAGCTTTCGATCCGTAAGCCCGGGTCTTCATCAGTGCTAATACAACTCTCCATAGAGGTCCGTAATAAGTTCTTTGTATGTTTGCATGGCGATAAAACATAATAGTTATGTTTGCAGTTGTTAACAGCCTGTCCGGCCCAAACTTGGTACAACAACTGGGAACAAGCAGTGCGAACACAACTTGTCGACAGCTTGTGAACACATTTGTAACAAACTTGTTTGCAGATCTGTAACAACTTGTGCGTTTTTACGTGTTAGTACCAAAATAGCTGGCGGCCATATTCTTAGCAAGTGTCCTAAAGAGAGACATTCACCCCCTGGAACATTAAATTTCAATACGTTTTCAGGGGGTGACGGCCTCTCTTTAGGGCACTTGCTAAGTGCATGGTGGACCTGAAGTGAGACCTCTGTATGTAAGTACTCTGTGACAGAGCGTCTTGTTTTTAGATATAGAACTTCATCTAACATCCAGTCAACTTACTGATCAAAACTTCCTGACACCGGTGGCAAGGGGGGAGGAGGTGGGGGAGGAAATGCGGCGGGCACATCTTCTTCCAGTATTGGTAGAGGTGGGGGAGGAGGTGGTGGGGGGTAATATGGTTCATCTTGTGTTGATGTATCGAGAGATGATGCGGAGTTGTTCATGGAGTGAACACCTGATGATCCCGAGTCCTTGCGATTCAATTCAGTGTGGTTGTTGTTTGCTTGAAAAAATAAAATAGTTTATTCTTGTTAGAAATTAGCTAACCATTACTTTGACATATGATACTTGGACTGAGCTGAGACTGGATGAGACTCACATACATATTTTAAATACTTGCTTAGTGCTTACATATATGCTTAATTAGTAAATTAAGCCTTGGTCAAACGAGAGTTGAGAAGCGAGAGTTTGCATGATTTCAAATCTTATGTCCCGGCCAAACGAGAACAAGAGTTGCATGAGAGTTGATGAGAGACGGAATAGTACCGCGCGCGCGGCGAAAACTCTCATCAACTCATTAAAATTGAAACCAGATGAGAGTTGATGCAACTGGCAATAAGATGCGTTAGGCAATTAGGCCTACTGAACATGGAATGAAAACCAGTGCCGTAGCTAGAACAAAAATTGGGGGGGGGGGTGTATATTCATATATTCGTGTTCTGCCCGACGGATTTCTTTTGAAATCGATTGTTTTTACGGTATGTTAAACATGAATATATGAATATACATCCCCCCAATTATCGTGTCTAGCTACGGCCCTGATAAAACTATTGTTGATGCCAACAAGGTCAAGGGATCCTTATATATCACTGCAGTACCTGTGTTTCCAATGTCTTTCAATGGAACCCCATAATCCCTTGCTGGAATAATCAGTTCACCCTGACCGCCGGAGTTCGGGAGAGTTCCGTTGACTTTGGGAAGTACAGATGGACGAGAGTGGACTGGGCCCGATGTTGGTAGTGTGTGAATGGGGTTCGCATTGCTATAAAATGAACAACAAATCCACTAATGAAACTCAGAATCTCTTTCTTAAGAAAGTCACGAAACATTAATTAATATATTCAGATTAATGTTTAATTAAAAATGGGAGTAAAACTTGATATTTTGAAAACTTCAAAATAAAATATTTCTACTAGCCGTATTCAAATGAAATGTTCTACATGAAAGCGTTTGAATACAACTTGTCGACGGCTTGTTGATAAACTTGTTACAAGATGCGAGATCTTTGCGTGTGTACTGTACTGTGCTGTGCTGTGCTGTGCTGTGCTGTGCTGTGCTGTGCTGTGCTGTGCTGTGCTGTGCTGTGCTGTGCTGTGCTGTGCTGTGCTGTGCTGTGCTGTGCTGTGCTGTGCTGTGCTGTGCTGTGCTGTGCTGTGCTGTGCTGTGCTGTGCTGTACTGTACTGTACACTATACTTTCACAAACCTTGGCACAACTCCCGAGACTTTTTCAGTAAATGCCACTGGGAACCATCCTGACCTGATGAAAAAACATACCATAGTTAAAAAAAAGTAATTTGGTAGGTAAGGAAATCTCGAGCAAACATTATATACATTTATTAAACCTAACGAGGAGTAGTTGTGAAAAATGCAACTATAGGTCCTCTGACAGGAATCGAACCTGCGACTCTGCGATTCTGATGCAGTGCTCTAACCATCCAACTGAGATACAGAGGCCAGTTGTCGAGCTCTAACCGCTAGTTTATGTATAAATACTATAAAGGTGATGTCAATGTAAGGTGTATGGGTTAATACTTAACATTTTGGGCATCCCGCTCGATAGATAGATAGATAAACTTTATTTAACCACGCTAACCCCGTCAACCGAAGCTGATTTCCACAGGGGGCGTGTATAAAAGAAATTACAGAAGTATAAACTTTAGAATAATTATTTACAGAGTATTAGAAATAGTATTAGGCATGCAGGTATTAAAGTAAGTAATGGGAATATAACAATCTATTTACATTGTACATGACAACATTTGGTGTCTAATTAAAAATGTGAGCGGCAATTTTCTTTTGGAAGGATGATAGAGATATGCTCTCTCTAATTTCATTTGGAATAGAGTTCCAGAGCTTAGCACCATCATACACAAAACTCTTTTTCATATTATTGGTGCGTGGTTGTGGCAGGCAAAGACCACTTGAAATATTTCGCCGAAGTTTATAATTTGTTATATTATTCTTATACGTGAAGAGGTTTGTGAGAGACTTCAGGGCCTATTTTGTTTAACGTCTTGTACATCATTCTTGCTTTTGCCTTTTTTCTTATTCTATCAAGTGGCTCCCAGCCTAAGGCATTTAAAGAGAGCTGAATAGAGAGCTGATAGAGCTGAATGATGAGGGATTTTTGCAGATGAAAATTTTGAGACCTGACCAGGAGCAGAAAATGCAAATATAGGCCCTCTGCATGGCACGAATGGAACCTGCGTCCAATGAATGGACAACTTGCATGTTAGACTAAATTTTAATCTAAGCATAGAAAAGGGAATCAAACACCACAGCTAAAAAGAACATACTGAAATTAGTAAAAGTGCAAAACTTGGCTGCAAAATGTTGTAAAGCTTGGAAAATAAAGCCTTGCAAAGTTTGCATATTTTCAGTATATTTGTATTACGAGCGGAAATTGTTACCATTTTCGGCTCAAAAATGGTAACAATTTCCGCACGTAATACAAATATACTGAAAATATGCAAACTTTGCAAGGCTTTATTTTCCAAGCTTTACAACATTTCGCAACCAAATTTTGCAAGTTTACTAATTTTTGCCTAGATCGGTTGGATAAAAAATTTGTCTAACATGCAAGTTGTCTGATACCATTAGCATTTCTACAGCGCAACTTACATGTGTATATTATCAGATGCGCTTTACATCAAGTATTACGCTTACCTAATTACATTCTTAGCCTAGATTATTTTTACAACAATGGACCATTTGCATTATAGACTAAATTTTGATCTAGACAAAAATTTCATCAGAGCTTGAAAGAGCATCACAAAATTAGTAATATTCCAAAGTTTCGTTGCGAAATGTTGTAAAATGCGGATAATATAACACCGCGGAAAAACGTCTGCGCATGCACCAAATTATGAAAATATGGCGGGGAATTTGAATATCAATTTCTAAAACAAAACATGCTTATTAATTGGTCAAAAATTAGTAAAACAAACGAGAAAATATAGCAAATGGGTAGACTAGACATTAATTGAAAGCGTCCTGGCATTTAAAGTATGGAATGAAATATAATTCATGTAAAAATTGTTGATTTTAACGGACACGACTTCGAACATGTTTGCAAAATTATTCAAAACAAAAATTCAAACTCAAAAGTTAAGAAAACTCTCGAAAAGTTAAGCTTCTTAATCCACTCAAATTGTAGAATAAATCCTAAAGTTTAATTATTGTGAACACGAAAATTTTTTATATTTGGCGACACAGTTTTTTTAAAGAAATGTATCTCAAACGAAAATTCGGAAATTGTCGTTGCTTAGTTGATAAACAAAATGTTTCAGACGATAAATTTGTCAACAATCACCTTTAGTTCATGTTCTTGTACAATACAATTTCTTGAATCTTCTGGCTGTATTTATTCCTAGTTTTTTGAATGACATGTTTATTTTTGCGCTCGAAATCTGGCTGTAAAGACGCACAATGAAGTCACTCCTTTTTACCGCCATTTTGAGCCTTCGGAAACGTTCGGAACAGCTTCTCATCAAGTTCGCAATACTATTACAGGTAAGGTTGACGCATGCGCAGACGTTTTTCCGCGGTGTTGAATAATATAGCCTTGCGAAATTTGCAATTTTCAGTCATTTTAGATTACAAACGGGAAATTGATGCCCCAACCACCCGATTGGGCTGTCAATTTCCCGTGCGTAATACAAAATGACTGAAAAACGGCAAACTCCACAAGGCTATATTTTCCGCATTTTACAACATTTCGCAACGAAACTTTGGAATATTATATCCTATATCAATGTTCAATGATTACTTTTCCTCAGAAGTAAAAATAATCAAATTAGATACTAACTTTGCTGTCCTCGTGTTTTCGCCATACTGCCATCCCGACGTGACACTCGTTAAAGTCTTTATCACATCACCCTACGCCAATAACACAATGTTATAGCATTCATATTACACACGTAAAAACGCACAAGTTGTAACAAACCTGCAGCAGAGTTGTAGCAATGCTGTTCCAACAACTTGTCAACAGGATGTGTTTGCTACAAGGTTGTTGAGCTCAACAGACTTGTTACAAGTTGTTCCAACAACTTGTTATCGTCCTGCAATTCAACAACTTGATCAACAAGATGCGAGTGAAAATGTTGTAGCAACTTGTTAAAATAACAACATTGTTTCAACTTGTTGACAACTTGCTACAAGGTTGTTGATTCAACAGACATGTTACAGGTTGTTCCAACAACTTGTTATCGTCCTGCAACTTGATAAAATAACAACATTCAGTGTTACAACTTGTTGACAAGCTTGCTACAAGTCTGTTGCGAACACATCTCGTTGACAAGTTGTGGCATTTTCTACGTGTGTAGCCAATGAAAATTTTCAAAATGTTAGAAATACGTATACCTCCTCGAAAGATAGTTGTGTGGAATCTGCAGCTTCGTGTGCGTAGATAGCTTGCACCTTGGCCCTAGTAGAACGTAAAGATATAGAGTTTAATGATAATAGGCTTTATTTATAAAGGAGGGTAACATTTTACAGTAGTAAAAATTACACTGATAACTTCATGGCTTACTGACTACTGATCGAACAGAATCTTCATTGTACACGCGCGAGATGGTTCCGGACTATCTCAAACTCATTAATAATTCATGAGTAAATTAGCCAACCATGTTGCTTTATTTTGCTCACATGATAATACTGGAACTGGATCGAAATTAATTCAGTCCTTGTACTGGATCAAAATTAATTCACCTCACTTTAAGTAGTAGTTTATTCGTAAATGTCATTTCAAATCCTCCAATTCGGACTGGATTAGATTTCAAGCCCTCGCAGTTTGATAAAATTGCGCGGACCTGAAATCAGACCTTAAAATATCGGTCGGTCACGGACATTGTCCGACCCATTCGTGAAATTGTCCGACGTAGAGAGGAAGCCGCCGGACATTCTGTCCGACATAAGTGAAACTGGGGTTTACTGTTTGTCCGACCCCCGACCCTTTCGTGAAATTGTCCGACGTAGAGAGGAAGCCGCCGGACATTCTGTCCGACATAAGTGAAACTGGGGTTTACTGTTTGTCCGACCCCCGACCCTTTCGTGAAATTGTCCGACGTAGAGAGGAAGCCGCCGGACATTCTGTCCGACATAAGTGAAACTGGGGTTTACTGTTTGTCCGACCCGAGTGTATTGGTGTCCGACCGAACTGTAGCTTTGTTATAACTAAAATTTTGATCTAGACAAGTCTAGACAAAAATTTCATCACAGCTTGAAAGAGCATCACAAAATTAGTAATATTCCGAAGTTTCGTTCCGAAATGTTGTAAAATGCGGATAATATAGCTTTGCGAAGTTTGCAATTTTCAGTCATTTTAGATTAAAAACGGGAAATTGATACCCAAACACCCGATTTGGGTATCAATTTCCCGTTACATTATCTGCATTTTACAACACTTCGTAACGAAACTTTGGAATATTACTAATTTTGTGATGCTTTTTCAAGCTGTGATGAAATTTTTGTCTACATCAAAATTTTAGTTATAAGGTTAAAGGTCCATTGAGTATTGTATAAAAAGTAAACCGCATGGAAATGTTGTTTTAACGTAGGCTGATCGAGCGCGGGGCGAAATGGTGAAGTGGAAAACGGGTTAAGCTGTCGACGTCGCAAATTTGTTTTCCGTAGACAGTCGGACTCCTCATTGATAGTCGGATATCATATCATGTAGCCCGGCCACTATTTCACTGGATACGTATATACCAGATATTATTGCCTCGTTCTAATTTCCACAAACTAATTACCAAGACAATATTACGAATTGATACTATAAAGGAAATATCATTCAAGACTTTTAATGTTTAATATTATGCTTAGTATGCTTTATAATATAAAATTTTTTTTCCCAGCGACGCTAATTAATCATAATCTGTCAAACACCAATGTTCAGTTGTGAGGAACATATTTACATATTACACCACATTTATGATTTAAGCTCTGTATAGCATGAGAATTTAATCTATTAATGCCAACTAACTGTCGTCTTAATCTCAAAATAGCTACTTGACTGCGTATCCACGTATCCACTAAAATATAGAGCTACCTATAGCATGAGAATTTGATCTAATGCTAATCTAACTGCCTCATTCTCAAAATAACTATTTGACTGCGTATCCGCGTATCCACTAGAATACAGAGCTGCCTTTAACACTATGACGATTTAGAGAGCTGCCTTTAACACTATGACAAAGTCACTGTATGCTTCGTAGCTACCTTTACCACCATGGGATTTTAATCTATCAATCTATGTATTAATCTATTGAGACTAAATATAGATGTATTGATACATCCTATCCATGGTGTTTGAAAGGCATGGCTTAAAAATAGTTACAAAAAACAGTTACAAAAGCAAATAAAAGCAAGTGGGAATGGCGAATATAATGTCATCGCCACACAAGATATGAAGATCTTGACATCTCAACCAAGCAATACAATATTTTGAAATCACCAATTGCGTGCGCAAGACTGGGAAGGCGCATCTATAATAAGAGTATCCGCTGAATGTTTTGTCTAAGGGCGCGGGTCAATGATGCGTCCGACTATCAATGAGGAGTCCGACTGTCCACGGAAAAAAAATTTGCGTCGACGTCTTACTGCTGTTCTTGCAAGCAAGTTAATTTTGACTTGGAAATAAGTATGAATGACACAAATTATTTAATATCTTCACAACATTGTGCTGATATTCATTTGTCTCATTCAGACAAAACTGAACTGAAGGTCATCAGACATATGTTCGACCCAAACTCAACGTCATCGGACATTTTGTCAGACGGGCCTGTAAAATATATTTTAAGGCCTGCTGAAATCTAGTCCTGTCCTCATAGTCGGATTTGAAATATTACTTAAGCCATGAGTAGTACACGGGCAACATGCTTTGTAGTATTGGTTATAAAAATTTTCCCTCTTCCCTTTTATCTAAATTTTTACAATTATCTTTTTTTCTTTCTTGGGGAAATATTTTCTGGAGTCTCGATGGTTTCGTGGTCCGTTTTCAAGCCCTGCCTCAAAGGAGAACAGTTTAGAACTGATAGAACTATCCAGTATGCAGTACCTGCTTTCCTTGTCTTTTTCTTTGTCTTTGGCGGGTCCATTATGATTCAGCATAGATCCGACATTGAACTGATGTGATAATCTCTTATCTAACAGTTTACTTTGGTCTATTGGAGGAGGACTGGGTGTGCGAATCTCAACTACACCAGATAGATGTTCGTCCAAACTTTTATCATAAACACTGTTCTCTGTGAGTTGCTGAAATCAAACATAAGATGAATCACACTCCGAATAGACCTTTCCGGTAATTACGCCACAACTACACGGTTTTCAACTTAGAACCACCTTACTGTAAATGGAATGGATTTTAAGCTTGTTTCTCACGTGCCAAAATTGGTCAGAGGCCTTAAACACGAAAACGAGGCCTCGTTTTCGCGTTTAGGGTTATTTCCACATTTATTGGTCAAAATCCAAAATTCTTTTTTATGCATGTGTTGGATGAAGGATGTGTGATATGAAAGATGTTCTGCTCCTCTGACCATAGCCCCAGAAAAACAAACTTAAAATCCAATCCATTTAAGGTGGTCCTAAGTTGAAAACAGTGTTAATCGTGACGTCATTACCGGAAAGGTCTATTAACGTCTTGTTAGGTCGACTAACCACAAATATAATTTTTGGTATGACCTAGATATTACAAATACCAAAAGTTATATTTGAGGTAAGTCGCACTTTAAACAGGGCAACAAGAACTCAAGTAATATTTCGAACGGCCTGTACTAGGTGGTGATAACCATATAACCACAGAATAAGGTACACAGAAGGTCGACTCGAGTAACGCTGCCACGCCATGATTCATCATCAAAATGCTGACGCCATGGTCCTAGCCAGTGCATGTTTGAGAGGCATTCCCCCCCCCCCTGGACATCCGCCATTTTGAATATTATCAGGGGGTGAATGCCTCTCAAACGCGCACTGGCTAGGACCATGGCGTCAGCATTTGATGACGAATTACGGGTTACGCCAAAATCATAGGAAAATCATAGGAAAAACGAAGAAGTCGGCCTTCTGTGTACCTTATTCTGTGATAAAACTATGCGATAACAGAAAATAATTTTTGGACAGAGTACATACCTTGACCAACGGCGTGACGTTGGCATCCAACGATAAAGGTTGTTTCACCAAGTGTGCCCAGATGGGTAAACGAGCGCTCAAAAGACTGAATGCCTAGCATGGTGTAAACGAAATGAGCGAAATGGTACAGATTTTCTGACCCAAATCATGGGCGGATTTTCCGTATTTTTTAAAGAAGGGGTGAAAAAATTTCTAGTGGGGATGCAAGCGGCACCACTGAGCGAGCTTCGGCAGAGGTTAGGCGTTAGGGTTAAAGACTTTCACACAAAATAGAAAGGGGTCACGCAAAATTTTGGTGGGGTTGAACACTTTAAAAGAGGGGTTAGAGAGATTCTAGGGGGTTACCACTCCTAACCCCCCCCCAGTAAACTGATCATTGCATACCATGGTTTTCATTTGTTTCCTATGCATACCTTTTCGTGATGGGCCAGATCCATTTTGGATACGGAAGACATTTTCTCAATAATGAAAGAAAACGCATTTCTTTGAGATTGTATTGCCTACAGAGAAATAAAGACTCTTGTCATTTGTGTCATAGTTTTTATACAAACTTCAATGTCAACGTGCAAATCTTGCTTTGAAGTTGGTCATACCTCGTGACAGCCAGATACTCTTATTTCATCTAATTTTGTCTGATACTGCTCGAATGCTGTCATGATCTAGATAATTATGACATACTGTAAAAGCAGTTTACTAAGCTTCCTGGAGGGCTTATGGATTTCAGGCACCCTTGAGGGGATGAAGCTTCTTGATTCAGCCATATACAGGAGGGGAGGGGCTGATAAATAAGGAGAGGTGGGGGGGGGGCTTAATAAATGTCTTCTCTAAAAAGGAGGGGCTTAATAGAGAGGAGCTCATCAGTAAGACGATTGGAAAGAGGGGGAGGGGCTCATTGGGGGAGGGGCTCATTGGAGGAGTGGCTCATTGGAGGAGGGGCTCATTGGGGAGGGGCTCATTGGGGG